TGGCACTCGATTTCCCAAGATAAATCTTGTGCTCCATTGGTGTCTTTGTGATGTGAGAAAGAAGGTCTTAAGGATGTTGGATGGAACTCCTGTGGCAAACTTATGGTAGAGCATGGATAAGAGTAGCATAGAATGGGCAGACTGCATAAACAAACAGAATACCCCTTAAAGTAGATCATAGATCTATTAGAGTATATCTTAGGAAACCAGGTCCTAATCTGAACAGGGCCTTACTATTCTGTGAATAAGAACAAGCATATTTATCAATGATTAATAAACATTTATTAAGCACCTTCTATGTGCCAGGCACTGTGCTAAGTGCTGGGTATAAAAAAAAGCAAACGACAGTCCCAGCCCTCAAGAAATTTACAATCTAATAAATCAAAATTACAGAAGGTTGGGAAAAAAAATCTTGGAGCTCATCATAAAACTCTTATTTTACTGATGAGGAACAGGAAGCCCAAAGGCAGGAAACTGTATAAGAAAAGTCACATAGCTAAGTGGTAGAACTGAGATGTGAACTCATGTCTTTGAAATACAAGTCCTGTGGTCTTGCTTCAACACCACACTTGGACTTCCATGGTCCAGTCAGCCATAGGTATATCTAAAAAAAAAATGATTCCTAACAATCTAATCTATTTCAGTTTCCAGTGAGGACTCTAGCTTCAGGCTGATATGAATTCCTTTTTCCCCTTAAACTTACTTTTCACCTTCCCACCTCCTTTCCCTCACCACTGCCTCCATTAGGTTTCAGAACAAGAATGGAGGCATTATATGGAACATTTGTCAGTGCTTGAAGGGTCATTCTGGGCTATTTATTCTTCAACCTCACTTTCCAAGTCCCTGATCATTCTATTTACAATTTCAAAATAAAACAAAATATGACCCAAAAGGAGGCTTTTTAAAAAAATATTATCTATTCCTGAATGAACTGTTAAAAGATTCCTTTTGCATTAGTTCCATTGTCATTTTGCACTCTTCTTGATAGACAGTTGGGATTCAAAAAGAATCAAACCCCATATGTCCTGTGTTCAGCTGGTCTTTAAATAGCTCCTGGTTGGATGTTTCAGTAAGTTCTATAAAGCCTTGTCAATGCCCATGAGAAGATCGCACAGTTGACTAGCTGATTTCTGAGTGGGAGACCTCAGTGAAGCACAAACTCTGATATCATGTTCTCTGAATTGGAGTTGCTCTGTGTTTCTTTGCCTTCTGAGCATTAGTATTAGACAAATGATGGTATTTCTTCATTGAATGTTTCAATGATTCATATTATCTCCAAAACAGAATAAATACATGGATGGAGTAGGAAAGGTGTGAGAGAAATCAGTGTTTCAGAAACCATCTTGGCAGAATGGACTGATTTGCTCAACGAAGCTTGGAAGATATTTTTGATGACATCTTTAAAAGGAAGTCACTCATTTTATGTAGCTGCTATAGCCAAATTGTGCTTAAAACACAGTATAACACTTTACTCCAAGGAATTCTTCCAAAACTCCAAGGAGGTAGGTTGGGAAGCATAAAATTCAGTAAGCTGAATTCTTCCCATTTTACAGGTGGGAGAATGTTAAAAGTATAAGAAAGTGAATCACCTTTAGTCAGTGCAAATAAGCTCCAGAGCTTAATGCAGAAGTTAAGTTAACTTGGAACATCATAAGGTTTCCTAATTTAGGCAGCCAAGGGTAAATGGTAATGATTCATTCGAATATTGAATGCTATTTCAACTGAATATTGTACAACCAGGACCCAAGGAGTGCAAATAATGAATTCTGTGAAGTGGTGTCATGTATTTGAATTCTAATTATGTAAAATAGGGCAATTAGCTCTAGTACAGTAGAAATATGCAATGTAAATTCGAATAATGTGACCACTTCATAGGATTCATTATTCTCACTAATTGGGACCTTGTTGTAAGCACATCATCAATGCTTTAAGAATGACTCTGAATAGGCACATTACAGTTTAAAATGTACTTTTGCTTCTACATCTTTTAGTAACCTAACCACTGACATACTGATTATAAGATCATCAATTTAGAGTCACAATGGGACTTAGAGATCATCTTGTCCAAGCCTTCTTGAAATTGGGTTTATACATACATACACACATACATGTGTATGTATATGTCTGTATGTGTGTATATGAGTTTGTGAAAGTTTGAAAAACTTTCCACTTTCTTTAAATAGAGCTTTATGTGTTAGAGATAGCTAAGTGGTACAGTGAATGGAGTACTGGATATGAAGTTAGGAAGACCTGAGTTCAAATCCAGCCTCCAACACTTACTAGCTATGTGACCCTGGCCAAGCCATTAAGCCTTTCTTTGCCTCAGTTTCTTCAAGGTTAAAATGTATATAATACCTCTCTCCTAGGATGGAGAGGAAACTAGAAAATATTTGTAAAGGACTTTGCAAACCTTAAAGCACTACATAAATGCTAACTATTATTACATCATTATTTGTTTTTTATAGACTCTACTAAATGATTAAAGATACCTTTATTTTCCGTTTCTGGAAAGAAACACTGCTAAAGAAAGCTTCAGTTACATATTAGGGGCAAGTTACAATGCCATACTTTATTTGAAGTGGAACACACAAAGAATTTCTGAGATAGACAAACATTGAAAGGTCAGCAGGTTGCTTACACATCACTAGGTTTACAATGGCCAAAGATATACAAGTTCTATTGCTGGCAGTTTAGCTTTGTATTTTCTATGTGAGCTTAGGGCATGTGGTTAATACCAATTTAGAAAGCCTTGAAATTCCTAATAGAAACATAGACAGACCCTCCAGCAGCACTAGCAGGGCCAATGATGATATTCACAGAACAGGATTGATTTTTTTTTCTCTATGAGCAAATGAACAGCTTCTAAGATCTCTATCCATTTTGGTTTTTTCCCCCTCTAGGGTTTAAATAACATGTATTTTGAAAAGAAAATCATTTCTATTAGTATCTTGCATTTGGATACCAGGGAAATGTCCTATAAAGCTTCTGGCTATTTTCAAAGGCTCACCCTCTATGGGAATACCTTCATCAAAGCCCATCTATGACAACCCAAAAGTGCTAAAAGAAGGCAGAATAAAGCCACAGGGTCATTTGGTTACTTTATGGAAAGTGACATAGTAAGACCAAAGAAATAGAATTTCTCAAACACCTTTGGGAACCCAGAATGCGATTTGTTTTGTTTTGTGTTTTTGATTAAACCTTGTGTTATAGAGGAAAGACTGGATATACTGAAGCTATCAAGGGGCTGTAAATTGAAATAAGGCTGACTTAGATGTGGCCATCTGATCTTTTAAGTGTTGTGTTAAAAAAGAGTCCTGAGACACAATTAGGTGCCTTGGATATTTCTCTCAAGTGGCCTAGTTAAAAGGTAAACTGTTCATTGGTGGCATATATGTGTTTGGTAAAATGCCCAGGGGTTTACCAGTAATAATCTGTACTCACCTAACTGGGAGGCAGAGTGTGACAAAACTTAGGATCTAAGGCAAGGGTGAGGAACCTGTGGCCTCAAGGCCACATATGGTCCTGTAGGTCCTCAAGTGCAGCCCTTTGATTCAATCCAAATTTCACAGAAATATCCCCTTAATCAAAGGATTTGTGCTGTAAAACTTGGACTCAGACAAAAGGCTGTACTCAAGGACCTAGAAAGCCACATGTGGCCTCGAGGCCACAGGTTTCCCACCCCTGGTCTAGGGAATGGTGACAGCGCTCACATATGAATTTGCAGCACAAAATCCCCTGACCAGGTCATCTTTTAAGATGAGACAATTCTATTGTAGGTGATAAAAGATGAAAACATAACACCACTGTGAAAATTAGGGTGGAGAAAGGGAGAAAAGGAAGGGGATATTTGAGCAGTCCCCACTTAAAGTAGTAAACTTTTTGTCATAATGCCTTTGATACTACTAGTATGTGGTTCTGGAAGCTCTCCTTCAGTAAGTTCTGTGAACCCAAAATTGAAGCAAAGATTTAAACATGAATTCAAAATAATAACAATTACCATTGATACCATTGATCCTAAAAATGCCTACTTGGCCCTAAAACACAAGAAGATAAATTGGGGGAAAGAGGGAGACAGTATTTAAACAGGCTAACACTATGGCTAGAATTTGGCCTTAGCTTTCTTTTCATTGTCCCCCATACAAGTGTGAGATGTTAGAACACAGATTGTTCATATATCAATTAAGGTTTGTAATACCTGCAGTTAAAAAGACGATTGCCATCATTATCATAATTCTGCCTTTTATTTAAACTGGTTTAATGGTAATGTAAATGTCATATTTGGTATCAACATCACCTTGATCTCTCTACTAGATCAAGATCAAGATCAAGATCAGGAATGTTGTATGTCTTTTCTTTAGTTGTATATCCTTCTGTCCTACTCTTTAAAACAAGCTAATTATGACATAGGTTCCCTGATTTAACACTGGACCATAATGGTCATCTAGTCCACTAGTCGCATATATCCATCCATTCTCACAAATCCTTATTTTCTAAATGAGGAAACAGATCCATAGAGCTTGAATGACTTGCCTAAAGTCACACAGATACTAACTGGTAGAGTCAGGATTTGAATCCAGGTCAACAAACATGAACTTGGACAGACTTGAAGAGATAGTGGAAGACAGAAGGGCCTGGAACGCTATGGTACACAGAGTCATGAAAAGTTGGATACGACTGAACAATTGAACAATAACCTCTGACTCCAAATCCAGCAATCTTTCCACTCTACAATATTTCCTCCCTAGATTCAGTATGAGCCAGCCAGCATTAGGTAGGTAATCAATGTGTTGGTTAAGCAACACCTGGTTAATAAACCTCCAGAAGCTTTCTGCAGTGATCTGAGACCAACATTACTTTTTTTTTTCTTCACCCATATAAAATCTACAAAGATGAGTTTATGCTTATATTTTAATGATTTGGTGGCAGCCCTGAGAAAATTCCTATTAAAGAAGTATGAATGGGAATTTGAAGGATGGGAGTAATAAATATAAAATGTGTACCTGAGGGATAATGTTCATTCACTGGCCAGTTGTCGACCTGAAGTGTGGCATTGCCGCCATTCCTGGTGAAACGCACAACATGGTATTTGCCATCATTTACTGGGGTACTCTCCTCTTTGATGGAAATGTCCACTGTGCCAATGTTGAAGACCACTCCTATTTTACCCTGTTCCTGAAAGGCAAAATATCAAAGGGTACCATTAGTATCTATAGCAAAGTTTATCCAAAACATTTCAAGTTTATCAATAAGTCAGCAAGCATGTATTAAATACCTACTGTGTGCCATGCACTGTAGTAGGTACTGAGAATAAAAAAATAAAATTGAGAATATCTCTAAATCCAAAGAACTTACATTCTATTAGGGGGACATAACATGTTGACATATAAGTAAGTAGTAAAACATGATACATACAAGATTATTACACAGTGATTTGAGAGAAGCACTAACAACCAAGGGAATAAAGAAAAACCTCTTAAAGGAGGTGGCACTTGAGATGAGACTTTCAAGGCTTAGCTTCGAGAGGCTCCCATCAGGGATGCAGATGTCCTGAGAAGTACAGATAAGGAGAAAGACTATTACAAGCATAAGGACAGCTTGTGTAAACAGCAATGCTGAAGATCCCTAGAGTGAGCCCCTAAAGGCATAAACTAGTTTTCATAAAGAAGTCTTAATCCATAATTGTTCATGTAAGATCTCTCTCTTAGAGTTTTCATACTCATAGAGTTTTCAAATATTGACCACAACTGTTATCATAGAATAATATATGTTCCTGCAGTGTTTTTCACCTCAAGGATTAAAACCATTGGTATCATTTGAAAAATTAACAAGCATTTTTAAGTGCCTACTAAGTGCTAGGAACTGTGTGCTAGGTGGTAAGAATACAAAGACAAGTCAAGTCAATGAGTTAACTTGTTGACTTGACTGAACTTGTGCTAGGTTCTAGGGCTACACAAAGAAAAAAATAAAATAGTTTCTACCCACCAGGAAGTTACATTCTATCAGAGAAAACAACATAGATACCTATACATACTACAAAAAATGGATTTAAGCACCTTCAGGATTAAGATACTAGCAGCAAGGGAGATGAAGAAAGTCCTCACATGTAGAAGGTGGCGATTGCACCAAGCTTTGAAAGAAAATAGGGATTCTAAGAGGTGACAATGAGAAAGGAGAGTTTTCCAGACATGAGGGATAGCCAGTGCAAAGGTACATAGATGGGAGATGAAATGTTGTACGTGAGGAAACGAAAGCTGGAAAGGGAGATTAGAACCAAGTTGTAAAGTGCTCTCAATTGCAAATGGGTGTTTACATTTGAACCTAGAGACAACACAGCATTACTGGGGCTTATTGAGTAGAAGAGTGACATGATAAGGTCTACTTTTAAGCAAATATGGTCATTTTGGTACCTATGTGGAGTCTGGAATGGAGAGGGGAGAAACTTGAAACAATGAGAATGTTTAAGAAGATAATTTAATAGTACAAGCAAGAAGTGATAAGGACCTAGGCTATCTTCTAGAAAGGAGAGTAAAGATATAAGCATCCTTTAAAGACAGCATCTCATAGAATAATCAAGGTATGCTATTTTATACTTAGAGTCACTCAAAATTTCTGGTTGCAGAAGAGAATCTCATCAATCTCTGAGTTATTATGATATTTCCTATAAAATACTTATGATTACTTAAACTACCAAGAAGATCTGTTGGCCAGTGGAGTAAGGCACTGGATGCACTGGCCAGCAGGGCAATAGACTGACTTATGAATTCCAGAGAACATTAAACAATTATTCCTTACACTTGTGGATCCTGGAAGAACCTCTCAGAGTTCCAATCCAAATACTGACCACAGCTGGCATTCTTTTAAGTAATCTTGCTGTGATGCCAACATTATCATTTGAAAAGTGAAAAATTCAACCAACTATTTTTCTACATGTCCACAAATAATTAGTATAAGTTAACTTTTTTCTCCACTATATGCACTAAGTTAATGGCATAACATCAGCATGTTCTCACAGAGATAAAAATTCCATTACAAGTTGAATATATATATGGGGTACACTGTAGTTTCTGCCTAATCTTGCTCTCTTGACAATGGATGTTTTGGAAAATTGGTTTTCTTGGAGCATAGCTGACACAAATATTTGTGTTAACTTGAATAGAACATAAACTTTCATTATAATTATTCCAAAGTCATTATCTAGTAACCACTGTAAACATAGTCTTGTCACCCCATTTGAAAATGGAATGGAATCATCGACAAAAATTGAAGGAAATGAACAAATGGATAAAAATGCATACAAATGTTTGTTACGTGTCAAGCACTGTGCTAAGTTCTAGGGATAAAAATAGAAAGAATGAGACTACTCCTCTCTCTAGGACCTCATCTTCTAATAGAGGGAGAAGCTATTTAAAGAAAAGGCAACCACTAAAAGGAATTTGGTTTGGGGGAATCACAGGGATGGTGAGTTGATTCATATGTCATTTAACTGACATGCCTCAGAAGCAATAGTAGTATTGATTTGAATACAGTACCCAGAAAAAAAGAGGAGGATAATACAGATAGCCATATGTCCTAGATGGACAATCAGATGGGATATGAAGCAATGGCTGGTATGTTAGTTTGTACTTACTCAGTCACCAATCAACACAGTTCAGCTTTCAGATTCAATGTTCCAAAGCTGAGTGGGTTAACTTTCTCATCGACCAAGGATATGAATTTCAGTGGCAGTGCATATGGCAAGATGGCCTTGGTGGATGGCTGGATAGGATATGAAACATGATATAGTTTGAGGCTGGCTAGATAGAGTGGGATAGGTAAGTTTGTACTTGGAAAGGAGCCCATAAATAGTCCCAGTAATTGAAGGTGAAGAGTTGTAATTTGACATAGTGGAACATAGAAATGTTTAGAACACAGTTTTGTCACTGTTGTCTGTAATGGCTTATTCAATGCTGAATGAACCCATTTCTAGAAATATAAATGTAGCCTATTCATTACCAATAGAATCATAACTGTATTTTTTTATAAAAATCATCCTCACAGTTATCAACCCACCTTACAATGAACTCATTTGGGAAGGGGACATGAATGGCAGCAGGGGGAGGACCTCTGTTTTGCTGATACTGAATCCATACATTCAATCTATAGCATTTTCTTAATGTTAAAATTTAGTCTAATAAACCAACCTCTCTGACACTAAGATGTATCATGGTATGCATATAATGGGTATTAAATAATCATCCACACTGATAATTATTTCTATGTCATCTCAGGAATATTCTTGAATAACTGTGGACCTGAAGTGCAGTAAGAGTTCCTGGATCCCAACAGGTAGACTCAACATGCTGCCTATTATAAATATTCTAGATAGCATTTCTTAGATTTTTGTCTGCTTATAAGTTCTTTTCTATTTTTGTCCCCTAAAAGAGAATATATACCCAAAAGTGGACTACTAGAAGGTTACTAGAAACTGAGTTTTACTAGTAAATCCCTGATTTATAAAGCCCATCAAGAAAGTTACTCCAGGCCAGCTTCCACACTGTAGAACAAACAGCAAGAGAGAAGAAAAGTTATTAGGGATTGGAGAGATGAGGAGTTGAGTTTCTGTACCTTATCTTCTTGCAGTCCCTATACCTATAGCAAAGAGACCAGTGAAGTTCAGACTAGACATAGCTACAATAAACTTATGCAGAGGTTATATAGGAAGAGTTTTCATAACTAAGTGACTCTAGAATCCCCTCTCCATCAACATCTCCACACTTGTGGATGAAGCCTCAAACAATTCCTCAAAGATTTTGTTTTAATTGCAGAAGAAAAATAAAACACTGTTTGGATTCCAGAATATTAATCCCATGGCTATTGGTGATGAGCATATCATCTACTTGCCAGAGAGTGACTGTGGAACAAACAGTAACCACTGCCAAACCACTTATTGCTCCCCTTCTCTGATAATTAGTAACTACTTGGAGACAGATTGTGTGTAAGCATTGGGATAATAAGATGTGAAGTATAGGGATATAATCGGCCTTCCCTAACCAGCACCATCATCTGGCTCTTGGAACGATTTCACAAAATTGAACCCTTTCTCAATTTTCTTAGCAGCCCAGTACGGTTACTGAATGATAGACTAGGATCAGAGATGGGGAGTTGGAAGAGATCTCAAACATCATTTCATCTAACTCTTTTGTTTTACAGATGAGGAAACTGAGGACCCAAGAAGTTGAGTGATTTTCCCAAAGTCAGATTAATAAAAAAGGGTCAGAGGTAGAATTTGTAACAGGTCCTCTGATTCCATATTAAATGTTCTTTCAATCTTTCCAACTTCTGGAAACTTAGGAGCTGTGAGTTTTAATTCTCATTGTCACTTCAGTCTGTGAGATTCAATCACAACCTTATTTTTTGTCATTCATGGAAAGGTCTTTGTAAATTAGGATACAAGAGTTTCTCATAGACTTCAGAGTTCTTGGGAATTTTTTTTATTTTGTCATTCAGTCTTGGGAATGAGAAGTCAATAAATTGGTATCACGTTTCTGTGCCTCTGAGAATGTATAGTGATAAGGACCCTAAGGAAGGCTGTACAGAAGGTAGAATCACTATTGTTATAACCATTAGCTAAAGGTATGCTAGGAATATTTATACATATACACACACATATAATTTCAAATGTTAAATGCTGGGGAAGAGAGGAATGGGACTGCTTACTAGGAAGTCAGTTCCCATCTTGGATGCAGTAATATTAAGGAATGTCCTAAGATTTGCCTTTGGCCATTGAAAACTCTGAAGATTTTATTAATACAAGGACCAGCTTCTGCATGAAGTCTTTCCTGATACTCCCAGCTTCTTGTGGCTTCCCCTAGAAATCCACCTTACATTTATTTCATATATATTTATATATGTACATCTTGTCTCCTTTGATAGAAGGCAAGCTCCTTGAGGGCAAAGACTTATTTTTATCTCTGTATCCATAATGCCTAGCACAGTACATGACAATCAATAAAACTATGAGCATATATTAAGTTCCTATATTATGCCAGGTATAGTTAGACACTGGCACATAATAAAGACTTAATAAATGCTTACTGAATGATTCACTTATTAGAAAGTTTACCAAATGCTCTACATATATTATCTCATTTGAATTTTACAATCCTGTGAGGTAAGCATTGCAAAATCACTAT